AGCAGGAGAAAAAGACAATCCCTAAACTGAAGTAGGAAAAACATCTTGATTTTAACTGAAAACAGTGACTATTTAGGAATTTAATGGGAAAGGAAAATGAAGAAACCTTAGTATCTAAGCAACACAGCTAGATTTGGAAGAGACTTCACTGTACCAGATACCCAAATTAATACAATAAAATAATACAAATCTGTGTCATATGCAAAGATTAGAGGTAGCACAAGAATAAACTAGTTTCTGGCTTTTCAGTGTATTCAGTTCAGCCCAGTTACTGCTGACATGAACTGGTTCATCTGTCCCGTGACATCTTACAGCACCACAGTGAATCAAAGGACTGCACTATTAGTCTTCTCCCTTGTTTTTAGGAACAAGCATGCCCTCTCCCCAAGGAAGGCATGGAGGCATTCCTCCCTCCCCAATCCTTTCCCCTCATTGGGCACCATGAAGGACATGTCTGGTGATTTCTGCTGTGCTGTCCTGTCACAGGACAAGTAGCAACGTCAGCCTTTAACACCGTGGCTGACTTTAAAATTGTTAGCACTAAACTGATAGTAATTCAGCTGTTATCTGCTATTCAGCCTGAATAACACAGAACTCAGTGTGTGTTGGTTTGCCACACTAAGGGTAGAAGAAGAATTAAACCTCCACAGCTTAAGAAGCCATAACATTTCTCTAATCTTCCTATAGCAGACATTTTTTTCCCAGGATAAATAATACTTCACGTGTAAAACTTAAGGAGTCTGATCTTCCTGAACTGATTTTTAACCTTTTATACAGTTTGTTTTAAAGAAATTAATTAAATTTAAAAAAAAATCTTACCTTTACCAATTTTGTAAAGGCCAACAGCTATCACCAAGATAAGAGCCATAACTTTTGCATATGTGAAAACATCTTGTACACGGGTTCCCCACTTGACATTAACACAATTGATAAATGTTAAGGAACCTGTAGAGAAAAAGAATATGCATGAGAGGAGCACTGACACTTTATGTCACATAAAGCATACTTCAAACAAATCCTTCCAGATACCACTCCTCTTTTGGTATAAAAAAACCCACCACAACAAACCCAAAAGGTTATACACTTATTGTTCATGCCTAGTGAAAGGTTTGAATAGAATTTTAAGCTTATCTGTAAATAATGACTTCTGTAAGCCTTGCTTTAGTAAATGTGGCATATACAATGAAGTAAGATTTTATGCTCTATAATTAAAAAAAAATAATCTTAGTAGAACTTAACCATATACCTCTTTCTTAAAAGTACAGTAGTATATATCAGTAACTGTTAGAATTACAGGTCCATGTCTTGAAAATTATAAAGTAAGTGTCGACTGAATCTTTTAATACTGAACATTTAGGAGCCATTTGTTATGCTATAAAGTGCTATTTGAAACATTGCAAAGGATATGCTTGTGATATGACACATAACATGTATCTGAAGAGTGTAACTGCTGCAGAGTGCAATTAAATTCAAGGCAATGGGATCTTGCCATGGGATTCCCAGTAAATTCTATTTAATGCATACATTTAAACAAATTCTCTCTGCTAAGTTGATGAAGTGCCAGTTAAATGCATGCTCCTGAGTTTTATCAAAATTGTTCATGCTAGGAATAAATTTTCTATCTGACACTTCAATTTGCATATCACAGTTAATATAAGACACTGTCATTTTCCCTGCTCTCTGGGCTGTTACTCAAAATGCTAAGTCTAGTCAGTGGTGAGGCAATTACTGTATGAGAAAGCAGCAGCTGCCAGGCAAACCTGGGGCACCAGCTCAGAACTCTGAAGTGCTGGAGTGCATAGGTCATTCACATGAAGACTACAGCAAGAATAACGAAGAAAATGAATGCTTAAAGAAACACCAGCATTTGAAGCCTGCTTCTTTTAATTATTAGTAATTCAAGTAGTAATTAGTAATTATTTTCACAGAAGGTGAAGGAATAGAAATTCAGAAAAACCCTCTGGGCACTTAAAATTATAGTTCTTAACTTCTAGGAATCATAACTTTACTTACAAATACAAGCAGCTGCAATCAACCTGACTGCATCATACGGAGGCTCACAATGAGGAAAAATTGGTTGAACAATATAGTTGGCAAACGTGATTGCTATCACTGCCTGGGTTGTTGGTTCAATAATTAGCAAGGAAGACCACAGTCTGATGAAGGCCACAAAGGCACCAAATGCTTCCAAGATATAGGCATAACTGCCTCCAGATTTAACGATGGATGTTCCCAATTCAGCATAACATAAAGCTCCAAACAGTGAAAACATCCCGCCAAGTGCCCAGATGACTAGAGAGAGTCCGTAGGAAGCACTGTACATTAAAACACCTCTGGGTGATACAAATATCCCAGAGCCAATCATGTTCCCCACAATCAAAGAAACTCCATTTAGTAACGTGATTTCTTTTTTCATCTGCATTTTTCCACTTGTGTCTGCCATAAGGTCCATTTCAGCTTTTCCACTTTTAGTTTTGGATTTTTTATTGCAGCATATTCTCCAGGGGGCCAGCATCTTCAAATACCATTACCTGAAAACAAGAGAAGAGAACATCCTTAACACTTAAAAAAAATATAATTCCTCAAAATCCTATGAGCTAAAGCCAAGTGTTCCAAGTAGAACAAAACTTCTCCATGCAACACTGGTCAAAAACATTTGATCATAAATTTATGTTGTTAAAACGTGCGTCAACAGCCAATTTAAAACAATCTGTCCTGTTCAAACTTCTTGAAAGGTTTGCTTTCCTTTGTAAAGTATGTCTGTTTTAGCAGCCCTGAATAATTTATAATTATGTGTTCTTTTCCATTTTTTGGTGCAACTCAGTTTCCTAATTGATCAAATAGCTAACGAAGCACGATGATGATTAAAGATTAAAATATTGAAATAAACTCTCTTTAAAGATTAAATGGTTTTCTCATTCCAGTGGCACTTTCTCAAACCACAGGAGCACTGTGGGAACACTGGAGTAAAGTTAAATATTAATTCTTGCCATAGATCTTCAAGCGTGATTGCTGAGTCTCCCATTGTTTGCTCACCTCCTCTTCACACAGGTGACTCTTCATACTTCTCACTTTGTCACCTTGGTCTAGGGGGAGGAATTTCAGGCATCCAATCCACCAGTCATGCATTTTCCTTAAAATTCCTGACAAGCATTCCCAGTTTCCTACCACTAACACAATTTTTCTCATAGTGTGAAAGAAAGGAGGGAAACAAAAGTTACCTACCCCTTCCCACTGATAAAAGAGCTAATACTTCCCGAACCCCCTCGCTCTGTTTCTGCTCTGCATGGTTATGTGAAATGTTGGCAGAAACCTCCTCCCCTGATCACAGCTCTCCAGAAACCCATCAGGACAGAAGCATGTTAGAAATTTGGGCAGAACTCCGTTAATACTACTTCGGCAGCAGAGCCAAAGTTTAAAAATCATCTTGTGCTTTTTGTGCTTTATCTGGGAATTTTATTTTTATTTTTTTTAATTAAAAAAATATTTAAATATTTAAGTGGGCACAGCTCAAAGGGAATAATAATTTAAAATGCAGCTCTTCCTGAGGTGATGTGGATGTAGAGCTCTGAATGTAGGGATCAAAACCAATGGCTATCAGCTTTCTTGAAATGAAGTTCCACTGATAAACAAGATAGAGTTATTTTTCTGTAAAGCAGAATATATAATGGAATCAGTACCTTGTCACTAGTACAGGTAACTTGCGTACATGACATCTAACCAGAACTTTGGTGTCCAATGCACATGATCCAGTAGCTAAAGGGAATCTGAGCATTTAAACTGGCAATGTTACTTGACCCTCGCAGGACTTTTACAATCTGTAACCTTCCTGAGAGCACAAAGGTAAAGATTAAATTAAGTAACAATCTTTTGCACATTTTTTTCTTCTCCCTTGTGCTAACAAAAGGATATTTCTGATCTCTAAAAATGTGTAACCAAAGCTGTGTGAGAAAATACTTCTTGCTTAAATAAGAGACTGGATGAAAACATTTTGAAAGGAACAGAAGAAACAGTTCAAACTTCTGTACTTCGACAGATGTCACATTAGCAAAACTTTTAACAAGATCCTGAATTAAGTCCAGATACAGCCTGAGAATCAAAGGATGAGAGATTCAGTTTCCGTAGCCAAGATGTGTAACTTCATTGTAGTTAAGTCACTTAAATTTACAGCTGATTTTAGCAAATTGGCAAGGAAGTAGCTATTTGAAAACAAAATCTTTAAAGAGATTCTGCCTGTCCTGTCCCTGGCCTCCCCCCTCCAAGCCAAAAGCAATATTTCCACTGGCTTTATCAGGGCACTGATTTAATTCAGTGGAGTCACAACGCTGAAATTGTTACTGATTTCTTTATTCAGGACTAAACCTTCTTTAAATAAACAAGGCTTTACTGAGGCAGGAGTCATGGTAGCTCTTAGCAAAGTCTTCCAGTTATTAAGAAAATTAGAGAAGTATAGGAATTAAGTGTCCCGTACAGATCTTCCTGTATAATAGCAAATGGAGAAGAGCTTTTTGTCAAGTGTGTAAAGAATTCATTGCTGTTACAATCCAGGCAGGGATGAAAACAATTTGAGGAGATGCCAAATGTCTGCTGCAGTGGTCTAAGTCTTTCCCCCATTTATAGCTTCTACCATTTTGTTCCTCCTGAACCCGGCCCATAGTCCTGTCCTACTGTTATGACTGTCAATTCATCCTCATCCTACAATCTCCCCTTTCTGGGACCAACACTGCCTTGAACTGGTATGCCAAAAAGCCTAAGCCAAGCAGCCCAGCTGTTCAAGCATGACTGTTCTCTGTCACTTGAGCAATTCTGTAGGTTTACCTTGCCCAAGTGAAAGGCAGTAGTAACTAAGGTCTGGGAGGGGTTATACACCAGGGACAACAATCAGATCTGTAACAAGCTGATTTCTTACGGGGGGGTGGCCATTTTCAGTGGGAGAATCCCATATTATAATAGGCAAGAAATCCTTATGGTGAATCCTCAGGCAGAGAGGAATTCAGAGTGGCTTCCCCAGAATCGAAATATTTAATTTATGCAACAATTAAATAACAGAGATTCTTTGCAATCTGGCATTCTGCATTAGCATGGTTGAGTATTTAAAGGCTAATCTTACTGCAATACTAAAACTTTATGGCATTTAAAATACAAGTACAGGTATTTCAGTAGCTCTTGTGTATGAAGTCTGAAGAGCAAGACATATATCTTCCTGACACGTAGGAAGATTGCTTCACTCTTGGCCCCTGTGGACTGTGACAAGCAGAAAGCTATTGATCTCTAAAAATCAGAGGTTCAGACAGGCTGATGTGCCTCAGAGGCTGCAGCAGGCTAAATGAAACAGCTGCAAACACTTGCCAGCGCCATGTGTCAGCAAGTGATCTTTACTACAAAACTTCAGAACCCTGTTTTCATGCAGGTCTTGATCATCCTTGTGGATCATGTGGTCTAATTTCTTCTTGTTCATTTAGAAAGCCACAGTGAGACTTTTTACTAACACTGTACACAAAGAAGGTGTTTATTCTTGTGGCATAACTTGCCAAAATTGAAAGATTTTTAGAGTGGGGGTACTAGCAAAAAATGGTAGCTAACTGAAAATTGTAAGTACTATTTAATTTCAACCAACTGAATTTTTTTATGTTTTTTTTTTTTTAATATTTTTTTTCTTTCAATCTATTCATTGTTAAAAAATTACCAACTGGATTATTTTTCCTAAGTGGAGAATTATACATCTGTGGCTCTTCTAGTAATTTATGACATGATGAATGATACACAGAACAGGCTGATCTGGTTTTAAGAACTTCCTTTAATTAAACAAGATTTATTTTTATTATTTTTTTTTTTAAGTCCAAGAAAAAATAAGGACAGAAAGAAATTACTTACCCAATGTACTTAGCTTTGTCTTCTGAAGCAATATGTTGCCCTGTTTACAAAGTACTTTTGGAAAGGCAGTCTGGTATACAGCACAGTATCTACTGAAATGAGAAAACATGCAGAAAACAAAGTCTTTTGGGCAGAACAAAAAGTTAATGAATGCAAAAGCACTAACCTTGGATTTTCGTTTTCCGTGAATGATGAAGGCAAAAGTTTGTATTCCTGTGTCAAAGGGCATCTGGAAGGAGCTGATCCAGCAGGTCAACAGTCTTAAATCATTGGACTGAGTGAGTGTCACGATCCGGTATTCAGATACATGGCAATTTTTTATAAAGGTGATCCCAAATGGTGAAATTAAGACACAAACGAGGTCAGATGTCATGCACACAACAAACTTTTATTGCAGTAACACAAAAAAAGTCCCTAGAGCGGATAGGACAGGCAGGAAAACAGAAACAGGAAAGAGAGGAGAAAGCAGAGAGATAGAGGACAGCAAGCAAGAACATAGTTATCACCCACGGTCCAGCAATGTCATCGATGTCGTCGGTGGGGAAGTAGTTCCAGGTGAAGTGCTTTTATGCACCCATAGAGTCCCATATTTTTATACAGTCCTAGCCCACTACACCCCCACTTCTCTCCCTGCATAGGGAAAAACCCTTCGGATCTTCTCTGGGATAGCAGGGGCAGGTATGATGCCAAGGGCTTCATAGTCTTTGTTTGGCTAATTGATGAGATCAGCCATTACAAAAGGAGGAGATTGAGTAAATTGCCACCACAGGATTAGTTCCTTGCGGTGGAGTTCCGGTCCTAGGAAGTAGCTTGAGACTGGCACTCCTTGTCTTGTCCTGCAAAGTCGGTGGTTTCTGTATCAAGGCCTGGTTATCACTGGATATTCTGCTCCCAGCGCCAGCTGTAGAACTCCTTTTTCTCCAGTCTCAGCATGTCCCACATGAAACTCCCCAGTTCTCAGGTACTCCTTGCAGGAGGGGGTTGGGTGGGTTGCTGAGACATCTCTTTAGTCCATCAGCAGATGTCATTCAACTCTCAGATGCCACAAGACAGACAACAGATATCCTGAGTGCCAAAGTTCAAGCTTATCTCTTGGATTGTTCGAGACAAGCACTGTACAGCCTGAATGCCACAGTGAGACACCAGATTATAGGACTTCATCAGAATGGGGTACTAATACACACAGGAAAGTGAAATAATTTAATTCAAACAAGTATCCCTCCAATCAGCCTCAGTAATCCAACTGGAAAACAAGTAAGAGTGTTCCATCATATAGCACGTTCCATACTCTAACCCACAGTGACTCAAAGGAATAACAAAACCAACTCAAACCTTTTTATCGTAAGCCAGTGCTCCTCCTATTTCTTCCTTTTAAATATCTTGTAAAAACCTTCTTTCTGTGATAGACTGAGACAGGCCAACAGTTAATGTTTGCTTTTTTTTTTTTTTTTCTCCATTCAGGTATGTGCCCAGTATGTGACAAGTTATTTTGAATAAACAGCTTCCAAGCTGTTTTATTTTTATCTATGCAGGACAGTTATTTGTCCCTAAGAGTTCTCTAAATCCGTCTGCAAAGATTGCACAATTTCAGATGTCTGCAAGTCTATAGTTATGTACATTACTAATAAATCAAGGAACATTTTGGCAACAGAATTGCTTTGCAGGGACATCGTTCTCTGTTGGTAGAACAGTAAGGCTAAGTGCTATGTTCTTTAATCAGGGCCTCTGTCATCTTAAAGTATTTTTCTTCTGTCAGGGAAGTGCTAACAAACTACAGCCTAAAACCCAGAATACTTATTTTCAAGAATGCATTATCACTTTCACTCTGAAATTCGAACTTGAATTTGTTCTGTTTTTGACTTGGAGTTCTGACTGGTTTTTGATTGTCTGCTATGCTGAGGGGTCCTGTCATCAGATATTTGCCAAATCTTAGACCTCGAGAGAACGTTCATATTGCTAATGGATTCCTCTCCTAAGCCAGCTTCAGCCTTTAATTTTAATTCTGCAGAATGACTGCTCATGGGATGCTGGCAGAAAAGCTGCAGCAGCCACACTGGTAGGCTGCAGAACATGTCAGAGACAAGTGAGTACAAAGATGCAGAAGCAGCACTGGAAAGGATCAATGAGACAAACCACAAATTCAGAACAGAGCCTGCCTGCCTGTGCAGGCATTATCATGTACCACACACAGCACACAGAGCTAGGGAGCAGAGCATCTGTGCCGGGCTCAACTTGTGTTTGTCTAAGGAGTTACTTTCAGTGAGTTGGGAAATAGAAAGCAGGGGCAGACGCCGAGACATGAGATATCAGAGGCCACCTGGCAGGCCAATGACCACCCTCAGCCTTCTACTTTTTTTTCCCCCCACATAGCAGAACTGCCTTTAACTTCTTAGCACTAATTGAAAATAAAAATTACAAAAGTTTGCAACTCACGTAGACCATACTACAATAACAATATACCAGCTGGCAAAAGGATACCCATAAAGAAGCCTCTTTTTTTCTAGTTACTAAAGGCACATTTCAGGAAAGCTCTTAACACCTGATGAATTTTGGACACACACCTGAGAAATATTATTTTCCTACCTTGCATGACACAAGTATTTCTTTAGGCACTAGTAATAATGAACAAACATAGCTTAAAATATGATGTGCAGTGAAACAGTTCTGGCACCAAACTCCCACTGGCAAGTCTGGCAGCTTTCCTCGTAGCCTGTCCCTGCTTGACATCTTCAGGTCTGCTCTACAAAAAGCATAACCATTCATTGCACCATTGCTCTGGTTTCAGCTATTAAGTTTCAATTTTACAGGCTTCAGAGAGAAGCAGGGTAAAAATCAAATTCTCAGTTTACGCCAAAACCCACTTAAAAAAAAATTCACAACGCCCTTTTCTATCCAATAAATTAGACATTGTATTCTTGTGACTCGGGTCACAAAATAAGACCGATATCGAAAATACTAAGCTGTTGGCAACCCGTAATGCCCACAGTGAAAGTAAATCCTTGAAATGGAGAACTCGAATCTCCACTGGTCTCCAATCAGCCATCACTTAGGATTTCTCATTTATCTGCTCTTTATAGGTATATTTCAGCTTTCTTGTACCAGAAGTTTGGATTTTCCCAAATTCTACACAGTATTGGCAGAATTTGTCATTATTTATTAGTGCCTGTGAAAATCACTTGCCTGTGCTGTTTTCTGACAAATTAAAATGAATAATTTTTTTACTGGGCTTGAAGCCACCTAAGTAAAATAACTAAGGCTTTCTGAAATGAAGTAAAAAAATAAATACTATATACCTTTTACTGTCAGATGGCCCCATTTGTGTCTCAACCTGTTAGCACCCTCCTTCAGACACAAAAAGGATAGTGGAGATGTAGTCCAAATAAGGTTAAGGCAGGTCATGGCAGGAGAGACTCACACACATCACTTCCAACCTGGCAGTGCATGTCTGATCTTTGTACAGACCCCAACTACTGCTCATCATGCAAATACTAAACATAAAAGTGAATTAGAAGCTCGATCCATCAACTTGACATGACAAGTATTTATGGCAAATGACAAAGATAAGGGAGGCATTCACTAAGGAAATGTTAAAGAGGCAAAACCTGACGGTTCCCTTCCATTAGCTGTAGGTGGATCTCATCATACTAGGATTTCAAGAGGAATTTTAAGGGGTGTAACCAAATAATGCAAAAGGCTATAGCTGCACTCTTTCTAAGGTATCAGTTCTTGCAGAACAAAGATAGTAATCACAATGTCCTCCTTGCCCCTGGGCTCCTTTGTGGACTGACTTTCTTCTTATCATAGAATCACAGAATCATAGAACTATTCAGGTTGGAAACGACCCCTGGAATCACCAAGTCCAACCATAATCCCTACTCTACAAAGTTCTCCCCTAAACCATATCCATCAACAACAAATCAAAACGACACTTAAACACATCCAGGGATGGTGACTCAACCACCTCCCTGGGCAGCCTATTCCAGTGTCTAACCACTCTTTCTGTGAAAAAAAAAATTCCTAATGTCCAGTTGAAATCTTATGCAGTGGTCTGAAGCACCTGCCCTGGCAACAAGATGGAAAAAACAACACATAAAAAAGGTCCTGTAAGAATGCAATGTAAACTGCTCTTCTCAGGTATCTCAGGAGGAATAACCAGCTGAAAAGAGAAAATTTGTTATAAACAGAGCATACAAGCCCCAAAATAGAGCATCTAGAGCTTTTTCTGCCTCTACGGCAAACACCAGATGGAGAGAGAAAAAACAATATTCCAAATTGAGAAAGTTTGTCTCAATCCTGTGAGGTGAAAGAAAGGATATGTATAGACAGAAAATATGTGGAACAGGGAACATTTAATGTTTTTCTTTGCCATGTATAAACAAAATACTTGTATGAAATGAGTCAATAAGTGTCAAGTGCTTGGCTTTATGACTGGATTCCAACTGATTAACTTGTAACTCACCAAATGCAGTCTAGATGAACTCAGTGTCATTCCTGAGACTTTACTAAGGCACAGTAAAGACAAATCAGTACATATATAAAACAACTATATAGAAACAAGAATCATGCCGTAAGAAATATTCACCTGGCTTCATACAGAAAGAATTAATTTAAAGATGCAGTCTTTGAGAATTAGATACAATGTCTGGGTAGGGTTGAAGTCCTAGCTGTTTGTTCTCTTTCAACTTCTGTATTATAATTCTGGCAAATTCCTCTCCTTGGCTATCTGAGGTATCAAGAAGTTGTCGGACTTTTGATGTCCTTGTAGGTTTGGTGCTTATAAGTTCATAGTCTTCTTTCATGAGTAAAAATCTTGATAGAAGAGCATCCAGTGACTGATTCAAACATGCTTCAGTCATCTGATCAATAATTTCTTCTCTTTTACTTTGTATCCATTGATGAGCTACATTCTGTTGTATGGTTTCCGAAGCAAAATCTGAGATTGGAGAGGATTAAAAAACCATAAATTTATATTTTAACTATCTGTCAATAGAGAGTGCCACAGCAGAAAGGATAAGCTAAGAAAGAGCTGTTTAAAACTTAATAGTCATAAATACACCAGATGAATAAACATGCTTTTAACATGTCACTATTTTATTCCTCATTTACAGTGTTCCAATCTGTTGGATTTGGTGAGTATTTTATATTAACCATGGAACAATTTATATTGGAAGGAACCCTCAAGAAAGGAATCTGATCTAATGGCCTGCTCAGAGCTTGGCCAACTCCAGGGATAACTCAGGTTGCGCAGGGCCTTGACCAGCTGAGTTTTCAGCATCTCCAAGTGGTGAGATTCTACAGCCTCTGTGGGCAACTTGTTTTAGTGTTCAAACTGACCTGATACTAAAAAGAGAGAGAGAGTAAATTCACTTTCCAGGGGGAATTTTATTGAAGTTTAATGAAAACATCTCTTTAGTTTCCCGTGTACTTTCCTCCAGCTGATGTCACTGTCAAGTGACAAGGGAACAATTCTCACTTTTCTAGAAGAGTGATGATGCAGCAGATATTTATAAATCAGCATATTATTGTGTTCCCCATATGAAAATATCTCTCTGAATCATCATGCATTGAAGGTTCTTTCTGCTTGTTGCACATTTTCAACAGTTATTTGATGCACAGCAATAACATGCAGTGAGCTCTCAACTAACAAAGAAAACCATTAAAATTGAGATGCTGACACAGCCTCTGCTTTCCTTGCCCTGCCATTAATAAGAGGAAGAATGACAGGCTTAAAAGTGGGGACAAGAGACAGGAAACAAGATGAGTTAAACTCAAGCTAACTTTTTTGTGTTCAGTTGGATTGCAGCACTGCTAGAGCAGTAGGAGAAATAATATGAGCAAAGGGAATGGGATAAAGAAGACCCAAGGCAGCAGGAATTAAATTTGCTTAAAAGGAGATTAAAAAAGCTAGGTTCTGCAGTTACAGGTCACATTTTACATTGCTTCTACTTACTTTGTTATATTAGGCTACAAAGCCAGAATTACTTGCATTCTTAATTTGTAGAATGCTTTGTATTGATTTCACAGATGAAAGACAGTTCCAGTTTCCATTTCATACACACATGTATCAGATATTAGAACACTTATTATGTGTCTTGGAATTAAGTCAGTGTTTGCTGTACCTGAAGGAACTGGTGATGACCGTAGCATGTATGATGCAGAATTTGAGGCATCTGAAATACACTTGTCAGATGAGGGAAAGGAACTGTATGGATGCACAATAAGTTTGGCACTTTGAGTTATAGAGGTATTTTCATCTGTGCTCTGACTGCTGAGAGAGTGTAGAACCTCAGAATCTCCATCTTAAAAAAACCCAAACAAACAACAAAAGAAGAGTGAGTTGTATTACTTCTGTGTTCAAATAAAATACAGCCATAAGATACTATTTAGAGCAATTCCATGAAGCAAGTAATAAACAACCTGAATTCACTTCAAATAGAACACATTATTCCTTACACTCAGGTTCTGAATACATTTATGTCCCTTATCTTTTACCAGGGCTTCACTGTGGGTTTGGGAATCTTGTTCTATTTTGGAAGAACACTGACAGAATAACTCCAGTAGATATGAACTTAAAATAATATCTCTGTTTAACAGTAAATTTTTGCAGGGACTGGAAAAACAAAATATCTCCTCTAAGTGTTTGGAGGTAGCTAGGAGTCAGCATGTAAGCGAACTGATTTATTTTGATAAAGTTTGACAGTGTAACAAGGGTGGAAAGACTGAAAGAAATACTCAGATGGTAGGAAAGAACATGAAGACCAATGGTGACATTTGGTGGGATGCCAATGGAAGCTCACGATAGTCCGTCAAAACAGCACACGGCTTCCAAGAAAGCAGAAAACACTTGCCACAATTTTTTTTAGTACTAAGTACAGATGTCTGGTAGCTTTAGTTCAACAATTTAAGTTAGAACATGCACAGGGAGAACTAGCAGGATAACAGCCAAATGAAGAAGCTGATTTTACAAATGAACTTCAGAACAGCATACCCTATTTGTCTAGTAAAGCAAAGCATATTAAAGGATTAGTCTCTGTATCAGAAGCAAAAAGAGGTTGTTCAGCCTGGAGAAGAGGAGGCTGAGGGGAGACCTTGTTCCTCTCTCTACAATTACTTGAAAGTAGTGAGGTGGTTGTTGGTGTTTTCTCCCAAGTACCACATGAGTGAACAAAAGCAAATGGCTCCAAGTTGTCACTTAAATGGTAATCAAGGTGGTCGAGTTACCACCCCTGGAGGCATTTAAAAGATGTGTAGATGTGGTGCTTAGGGACATGGTTTAGTGGTGAACTCGTCAGTGTTACATTTATGGTTGGACTCCATGATCTTAAAGGTCTTTTCCAAACTAAGTAATTCTATGATTCTGTGAAAATGAGAAAACAGGGAAATGAGCTATTTAAGTATAAAGCAAAAGCCCAGAACAAGAACACGTGAACAGGTTGGCTAAGGAAGAAAAATTAAAGAGGCTGAAAGTTAGAAGACAGCTGGCAACTCTGAAGGAGCTAGCTTCTGACAAAGTTCTGACTGTATTGGTCAAAAAAAACTTTTTAACAGTGGAGTCAATCATCTTTTCTGCTTTCATATCACTGCTCCCTACAAAGCCAACGGATGCTCCCTTCATTTGAAATATATGTTTGCATTCTTTCAAGTGAAGAAAATCAAATGCAGTTTTAATTTCATAATGTACTGGTATTTTACCTGGTCCCATCATCATCCCAAAACCTCACAATAGAGTTTTGCCTTGGAAGTCTGCCAACTTTAATTTAGAAAAGGTGACAGCTACAAAAAAATCTGTGCAGGTACTTTTGCAAGGCAATCTATTAAAGTTTTATTATTGAATTAATAATGATCAAGAGGTTAGACTGCATTAGAAACCTTCAGTTTACTCAGCTTTAGAAGAGCCTCAAAATGTTGAGACTTTTAATCTTTAGAAGTAGTTTAAAAATTATTAACTAAACTGCCAAGAGCGTGAAGGGACAAGTGAATGCTATCTTTGCACTTATGACTGAACAGGAAAACTGAAGCTGTGAACTATGAGGATTTCCCAAGCAACAGGAATAGAAAACCAGAGTTAGAACACTAGTTTTTTACCCAGAGCACTAATTTTACAAAACACATCTCTTTTTGGCATAAATAGAGATCCACCTTTCTACTATGCAGTGTCACAGTGGAAGTATAAAGCTACAGTTGCAACTTAAATTTGCACAAAGTCACGAGTATCTCTACCTGATGAGAGGATATTGCACTTGGGAACAGACTTGAATGTTGATACATCTGGAGAGATGCTCCGAAGAGGAAGTGCATCACATTGTATGGAGGCAGAACATGTTTCCTGAAATGATTCCAGTTGCGTATTGAAAAGGCGTGTTAAATTAATACGGACTTGCAGTTTTTTACAGAGTACTTTCCCATCACTGTCTTACCCCTACAATCTAAATGCTCAATAGACAGCACAACTAAAACACAGCATAATAGAAGAAATTATGTAATCCTAATACTTGTGTTCTTCCAAACCTGACAGCAACTTTGTCTACAAGTTTAATTATTAGAAAGAATCAAAAGCAGCAGCATTGATAAGCAAAAAACCAACACAAATCTACATCACTCTATATAAGCAAGCTCCATGGAAGTGTAAGGGAGCAAAAGACTCAAAAGTTGCAGACATTCTGTGCTGCATTCCTCCTGAAAGGGATGGCTATTACACATATAGAGCACATACCAAACATGCCCTTCTTATTCCTGCTTACCCACCCTTTTCTATCTTCACCTATGTGAGTATGCATTTGTTACACCCCAACTCAACTAATGCATTTTATGCCTTTTCTGACTGCACGGGAAAGGAAACTGCAGAACCATTTTTCCTTACTAACTGAATCCTTCTTTAAGCTCTCAGGATCTTTAATGATGCCAACACACCAAATGCAATATGTAAAATATTTACCTCCTGGGGATTCAGAGGTATATTTAGTGATATCTGCTTCACATCTGTTTTCTTCCCACTCTTATAAATACACTGTGATTCATATTGGGACTGGAAGAGACATATTTACCGTTGTTAAATTTCTGCTATAAGTCGACAGCTCTGTACAAAGATATGCTTCAGCCAGATACAAGGTTAGATAACTGACAAAGGAGATTGCATTTCTTCTAGCAAACAAAAGTTAACGACTTATTTGACCAACTTATTTGACCAGCTGATGACAGAAACTAAAGCCACTTACCTTTGATCTCTTTAACAGAATTACTGCTTCCAGCATAGCTATTTCATCAAATGTTCGCAGGACTGGCTCAAGCTCTAGTAAACATTCTAAACAAAGAAAGAGTACTTTGCTGAATGATTTCAACTGAGAATTAAGGGGTTTTTTTGCCAAAGCTACTTTCTTACATTTATTGTAAATTGTCTGCCTATTTGGATCAAACCACTTACGCTACTAAACAGAAGCTTTTTGCTTTCACCTGTTAACTGTTTCACACTACCTACAGAAACCCTGTCCTGATCTGGCCATCTTAGCACTCTATATCAAAAGGGATCCAGGACTGTGCCAGACCACAAGTCTTGCATTCCTGAAACAGATAAGATTGGTGGTGGCTTTGCTATGTTTCAGGACAGACCCAAACTTGGCTTGCTAGAAAGGACCAAACAGCACAAGACCTCTGAGTGGGTCAGTGTCTTCCCACTCCAGCAGTTATGTAAATATTTATATGATAAAAATAAACAAAGAACCTGCCACTACAGCAATATCCAGAACAGGTGTTGTGCACCAGGGCCAGAGAAGATGGTGATAGTCAAGGCACTGACCTATCACATCCAGTGAACGCAAAGGATAGTGTCCTCATGCTCACCAAAGGCAGCAAGTCAGAGAAACTAAAATCATCTGCTCAGATAGGAAGACACACGACAATCCAGTATGCAAGTGACAACTTGTGCTATGTTTCCTTGCTTTCTGAAGCTGAAAGGTTTACAAAACTAAATATTTCAAATTTTATGATGATTGTATTAAAGAAATGTCTCTTTGAAACTGTGCTCAAGTAAAACAGAACTTCAGGAAAGGATGATGGCCTATCACAATTCTACTGCATTTCTATGGACTCTATCCATTTGACAAAATCAATTTACCATACTAGCAATCCATTACACTGAATCCTTATTAGCATATTTTTAGATGTTACTATAATTTTACCACAGCTCCCCCATATTACATTTTTTTCCACTAGCATCTGCAAGACATGCATTCAATACTGGGATTCTTATTTTCTCGCATTAGCTAAAACAATTTTTTTCCAGGTCTGGCACTTCATTTTCTGTACTGAAATACTAACATTGTTGATTTTTGTTCATTATTCTTAAACTGCAGGTACATATTCCAAGTGCACGTAGAAACACAATGATTCCCTTCTTTATAAGGGGAACAGACAAGTTGACTGAAGTTTTCTATTTAAAGTTTATTAACAAAAAGTTTTTGTTCCAACCCCTCTTGTGTTATGGTAATTTCCCAATCAGTGATCTTTACTTCCCTTAATCTTGCAACAGTTTTGCAACTTCCTCTTTCCTTTTCTGATAGTGAAGTAGAGGAAAAAACAATGCATATTTTCTTCAAAGATCATCTTACTACAGACACAGCACTAATAACAACCCAAGTTTGGTCACACTTTAGTACATATCCCAGGTAATTATCCATGCAGTGTCCATTTTGGTGTTGTTAACTGGCCCAGGATAACAAAAATACATAAGGAAATATCATCATGTGTCTGCTCTTTTTGATTAAAAAAGCAATATATAAATAGATGTATTTCCTTGCTTTGAAAAAACAAATAATTCCACAATTTACAATCACATAAACCAGACTCATGTCAAAATAACCTGACATTTCAATATGTTCTTAATGAAAAAAATAATAATGCCTCAAAAAAATGCAATTAATTTTGGACTGTAATCTGAACATAAAGATGCTGTATATGTTTGAATGTGTCTCCATTTTTTCCCTTGCCAAACTGATGCAAGAAAATGAAGCTATGAACATTTCTTTCTAAGCTATCTGAACAGCAACACACTAACACTTTCCAGCTCAAAAGTTTTCAAAATACTACACAAACTTCTGTTCACTAAAGCTACAAATGAAACATTAAGGTTGCAGACCTCTCTAGTCATAACATCAAAAAAAACCCAAAACCAAAGCAAAACCTAAAAACAAAAACCAGCAGAACCAACTAAAACCCCCTAGTATTTCAGGTCTGAGTCTTTGCATGTTCAATCTAACCAATGAGAAAATAATAATACAGAATTGTTTAAGCCTTTCAATAACTCCCTTATTCTACATTTTTGCCTCTTCCAGGGCTTTTCTTACAGAATTAGGATCCTGTTTTCTAAAGGAGTAGGGAGGAAGTTTTTAAAGGACATGCAAATTGAACAATTGCAGCAAGGCAGCTGCAGGAACCCCTGTTAGCTTCACACCACACCAATATATGTGACCACAGCAACATGCCCAAGAGCAAATTTCACAGTTGAAAATAGGTAATCACTTTCTGACATTTTTGGTGGAACTACCTTTACATAATGGCTGAACAAGAGCCAAAAGCGACCACAAAATTAAGTATATTTGGGATAAATTGTTATGGGGGATAAATATGGACTCAACATACACCACATCTGTCAGCTAAGCATGACAAACCCAGGTTTGCAAAAATCAAACCAAAACTTTTCCAGCTCACACTATGCCACTGTAATCTCTACAAGCTCACAGTTCAACCTTATTGTCAAAATTCTGTAATCCACTTTAAAAAAGACTTAAGGTATCTATATTTGGAAAAAAAAATGAACAAAGAAAAGATAGAAAGTTAAGTGTGTACTTTCAACCAGTTTCTGCAGGATGTGAAAAATGGAACAGTCAAAGATAAAGCCTCAGTGAAAAAGATTTATACTGAGATGCAAACATAAGGCAGATTCACTATAGCTTAGCTGATATGCAATGATTTCTTGGTATGTTTTAAAGTTTGCTCATAAATCCCACAGTACTCATTATACACTTCACTTCCCTCCCTTTCTTAACAAAAAATAAAGTTATCTTCAAAAATTAAACAAAAAACCCCAAGTGCAAGTAGTTAAACAAAATATTCGTCTTTTTTTACAGGTAAATTAGAGAGTGCAAATACAAAAGACTCCAACTAACAACGTGGTTTTATGACACACACATAGTTATGTCCATAAAAGTTTGTTTACAGACATGGTGGAAGCAGACAAGCACCTTGTCATATGCAATAAGACTGAGCACATTTATCTCTGCACATCTTTAAAATTTCCCTTTTGCGACTATAACCTTGCTCTACCAGTACTATGTTCAACAGAAATCTATCCATTTAAAAATCTTTTCTCATTATATAAGGTAAACTCACTCAAGAATGATGGTCTTTCATCTGGGTTTTGTGCCCATCCACTTGCTATCAATCTTACAATGAGCACCCGATGAGGAATGTCCATTGATAAACTTTCTTCACTTAAGTCTAGTCGCTGTCCTTGTGACACACTATACATTATCTGCAAGGGGTTTATAACTTCTGTCAAAATAGATACCATGCATTCATTAGAAATATATGCAATATAAATGGCTTACTATAGGAGGCATAATTTCTTTTGCAGACATATTTACAGTTCACCAAAATAAAGTTATATTTCTTGTTTTACAAAACGTTGCATTTTTAATTTATCAAACAATATTGTATTTTTTTTAAAAAAAACACAACCCAACAATAGAGAATGGGAGTCTAATTTGAAAAGTAATTCAGAGTGTTCTTCCACAAGCTTACAAATTAAACATTAAAAATTATCCCCTAAAATGAAGTCCCCAGGTACCCAGGTCTCAGGTTTAGCCTTTACTTAAGGCTGGAAAAACAAATGAAAGTAAGACATGGCCTTACCTTCAAATGGCCGTTTCCTTGACATCACTTCCCACATAATAATTGCATAACTGTTTAAAATATAAAAAGTGCAGAAGATGTTATTTTAGATTACAAACACTTAATAGCACAATGTGCTCAGCTTTACCTTTTATCAAAACATTTTGCTAAAATGACTCCACATGCACACATGGGATTGACCATGGCTAACTATAATGATGACCTGAATATAGAAAAACTAGCAGGAATTTTAATCAGTGACTTCAACTAGATATAGTAAACAATATCAAGTACAGAAAAGGGACGTGGCATACAAACTCATTTTCCAAATCTGTATTAGCTCTTCTTCACTAATACTTTGTGAATTACGTACACGCAGTTTAAACCTCAGTATGCAAACTGCTCCGTCCTAAATGCAACATTTTGGCATCTCCCCAGTCTGGATCAACACCCTCTGACATTCCCGTGGGAAGTAGTGTTCACCTACACTTCTATCCCAACACAGTGTCAGGTAAGATACAGGCTTGCACCTGGAAAGCACACTCCAGCTTCCCGTCCAAACATATATACGTTCAACATCTGCAGTCTTTATAGGTAGAGATGTCACTTTCACACACAAGATTCACTTTACAAAAGAGACTCAGGAAGACCAATCTGAACTACACCCAGCAAACTGAATACACATCTGCTTACTCAAACCTGTGATTTTTTTTTTTCTGTTCAGATCAGCATGAATGGGAATTACCTCAGTGAATACAAGTCTATTCCATCTTCAGTAGGCTAGTATATTTCTTCCATCATTAGAATATATATTCTTTTAAAAAAGGTAACTTTAAACAAGTTTGCAATTTAAATTGGATTAGATTATCTAATTTAAATTAATAACTCTCTTAACTTACACAAAAATATTTGATGCAGGCAAAGCAAATTAAAGACAATAAAAGAATGTAAAACCCCCATATTTGTTTTTCCTATTTAGACCAGGAATTAGGTGTGAGGAATAAACCTAGTAATTCTAAAGCTAAAATGAGAAAGCAGAAATATTTCACTGCTTGATAACCTAATTTCCAATGTCAAATATATCTTTGTAAAATTACTTCTACTCCTTTCTTTTTTCAGTAAATCAATTTTAAAATAGATTGAAAAGTTTTAAAAATGCTACTTCAAAATATTGCAAAAAAATTTCCACTGAAGCAATAAAAATGAAACTATGAAAAAAATTATCTTTTTTGCTAAAGAAGAATTACACTTGTCAGAATAAAAGTTTGCTCAACTACTCAAATAATTCTGCAAAGACAGTATTTCCCTGTATCACTAAGAAGTACCACATTTTGCATACAGGTTACATTTAACTGCCTCAAAGCGTTAAGTCATCTAACAGCTACCCATTAGAAATAATATAAAAAAGTAAGAATAAAAAAACTGAGGCTTAAAATAAATAATTTAAATTGAGCTTTCCTAACTACTTATTCTATTCTCATTTTAACATTAACCAATGATAAAATTTAATCAAGTAAGTTTTAATAAAGCAGTCCTCCCAGTTAGAAAGCCTCGTATTGATGCACTCCTGAGAAATTAAAGCAAGCTGATTTTTTTGGCATGGCAAATTGTGCCATGTCAGCATCTCTGTTCTTTTGACAGGAATGTCAAAGAACTTTGTGTGCTCTGTAAGGGTCAGGGATTAAATTAAGATAAACAGTGGTCTCCTTGGAAGTAAGACCCTCTGAGACTGAATAATCTCCAGCCAAAACACAACCCTATCAAAGGCAGCTGAAGGTAAAGGTGGTAAAGTGGAACAGAGAGATGGACTTTAATCACAGTGAAATGCTTGTTCAGGCCTCCTCAATCTCCATTTACACATGACAATTCCCTCCACGATGGCTCAAGTAATCTTTGACCTTTCCAAGCCTTTTCAGATTAGCTAAGAGTAATTTTAATACCCTAAGAGCAATTGCCATTTTGTTATATGGGTCACCACCACTCTATTACTTCCTACTCAATTGCTTCTACTACTCAGAACTGACTGACACAAATCTGCCTGAACTTCCATGAAGTAAGTTATTCCTTAAGGAGATCTCTCTAAATGCTTCCTCGAATACTATTTCCCTGTTTTCTTCTAACCCTTTTCTGAAAATATATTTTCTTCTTGAAAAGTTCTTGAAAGAGTCCAGTGCAAAGCCACAAAGATGAGTAAGGGAGTGGAACATCTCCCTTATGAGGAAAGGCTGAGGGAGCTGGGTCTCTTCAGCTTGGAGAAAAGGAGACTGAGGGGTGACATCATCAATGTTTACAAATATGTAAAGGGTGAGCATCAGGAAGATGGAGTTAAGCTTTTTTCAGTGATGAACAGTGATAGGACAAGGGGTAATGGATGCAAACTGGAGCATAGGAGGTTCAATGTGGATATCTGCATTGAGGTAATGGTATGAACAGTTTTTTCCCTCCCTGATTTTTCTCTCTATGTACACTTATTTACAGAAACCACACTCCTCTATTTCTATAATTCTAGTTTCATTTCTGAGGCTTACACTTCTCACAGTGTTTCCTAAAGAAACAGGTGGTCAAATCCAGCTATCACTTAACTCTATTCTCCCTGATTTATTTTGCTTACACACTTGCAAAACTTTTTAAAAAAATAAATAAATTTGCTGACATTATGTTAAAATCTAAGCTCATTAAATCAAATTTGAATTCAGATTGCAAAGCCCATGTGAGAACAACATGCGTTACCTGTAGATATCGTGTTTTACACTTGCACGGGTTTTCTGACTGGGATTGTAATCTTCAGGTGGCATGTAGATAATAGTGCCTCCTTCTGGTAAAGAGGTTTCACTTCGTGATTGCGACATGGATATAACACGCCATTTTGACATGCCAAAATCTGCAATCTGGAAAGGAGAAATCAGTTGTTCAGAGAGAAAAAAACTAGATTTATCTGCTGACCGTGATTAAAAATTCCTGAAATATGCCCTAAGAAACGGGTCACTAAAGTCCTCAACCTAACAGACAAGTGTTGTCCTAGCAACAAGAAACACCAGCTCCAGTTCAGAAAACACTCCCAGGTCATGACTCATGCTGTCCCTACAGCACTGTCCTATCCTGCTGTTCTATTAAGGAAGGAATCATATACTCTAAGCTGGAGAATACCTGCTATGACAGTCTGTTCTGTATGAATAAAATCACTTTCTTTGTTAAAAACAAACAAACAGCCATTGAGGGCTTCTAGCTCCCTGGTTGTGAGATAAACACAAATTTAATACAAATCATAGTAGCTCTACATAATTTAGCCTGCAGATATCTTGAGACAGTTACTATGACAGAAAATATTTAGGGCACTCCACCTCACTCCCAAAACTATGAAATACTAATCTTGAATTAATAAATTTGATATTCTGAAATTCTGTGCTGGAAGAAGTTGCTGAATATTTTCTTTACTGTGCACTCTGGGGCCTTGTCCCTTCCTACGAAGCTTACAGTAAATCTATATAAAGAAGTAATTGACTTCTGTTTACATTCCTAGACATCCATGAACCAGAGAGCAAGACGTCAGATTAGGTTCCAGCTGGGGACATGAAGAGCCAGCCAAATATACTTGCTGGCTGAGCTGCTGAGTGTCCAGCATACAAGGGAGAAAGTGAAGTAGCCATCTCTGAGCTTTGGACTTGTCCAGCACTTGCATAACAGTAAAAATATGCGACAAAGATGCGACAACAGAAATAAGCTTTATAGAGAACATACAGTCAAAATCCACACTGAAAATAACTTTTTTTTACTCTACAATTCACTCTCACCGAGCCTTCCTCACTGCAACTGGTCATGTTATCCTGAACATTCAGTAGATCTAGGACAGTCAGAAGCACTCTATAAATGGTCTTACTTTTATACATACATAATACTTCTTTATTTGGCATGCATGATAACCTTCCTTGCACTTCCTGCCAGTGGTCCTAATTTAGCAAATTTTGCTTCACCCCCAAAGAACCCACTTAAAAACCATAAGAACAATCTTTCAGGCCTTACAGAAGGCAGGTATGCAGGAGTAAACCTCTTCCCTTCAATCGCTCCAGCAAAACAACTGTTTAGATGTGGTCAGGCAGAGCATCAGACCACACCAGTGCTGCAAGGGATTAAAAAAACTAATAGATTAAAAAAATAACTTGGACCAGTTCTGTAATCAGGTTTATCAGGAAGCTCAAGAGATGCTTGTAATGCCAGCACAAGTGAGTGGGAGGAAGTATGACCTGCCGAGGGTGTGAGTGGAAACAAAGCTGTGCAAGTCTCTTTGCTGCCAAGATAAATGTCTTTAGAATGGTAAAAGAAGAAATGAGCACTGCATCTTTGCTCAGAGGACTCAAAAATATTCATCTCATGGTAACAACTGAAGCATTCACCATTCAAGTAAAAATTATGTGCAAAATATCTCTTACTTCTCATTTACTTAAACAGTATATTCTACCACCTTTAAAGACAGAATCTTTAAAACAAAAAAAAAGCAATTATGGAAGCACCTAACCATTTTGTCAGAAGTACTATCAGTATCTTTTGAACATAATGGCAGTGATATTTTCAAAGGCAGAACTGAAGTTCTGAACTAATGTTACTTCTCTACGTAGATTTGCTTGCTCTAAGGAGCTTTACAAAAGCCATCTTCCAATATATTCAGGATTTCACAGTTACATGTTCTTATACTACACCCACAGAACTGATATGTACATATTGCATGACAGATATCAAATGGCGTAATGACATTTTAATTTGACCTACTGTCCTCAGAACTAATTTCTCTGAGCATCTCTGCCAGGAACACTTCCTATTTTCTTCCAGAAAGGGCCAGACATGCTACCCTTGGAAGGCTGCCATACCAGAGTGTCACTGCTATTGAGTATCAGCTACTGCTGTAACAGAAACAGCCCTGATTCTGGCTTTCTGGTCTTTTCAAGTGGATGAAATCCACACTTGAGAAAAGCAGCGTTTTCAAAAGAAAAACTCAAAACTTCTGTCTGCAAGGATAGAAGCTAACATCTGGCAAACAATTCTGTTCTCTCTGTATGGTCACATCCTCACTCCTCCCCTATGATAATTAGAACACTTTCACTCATTCTGGATGCTGAAGAATGTAAGAATTAAATAACTGTACCTTGACATGAAACTCATCATCCAGCAAAATATTTTGGGTTTTCAAGTCATGGTGCAACAACGGAGGATTCATGTTGTGCAAATAGTTTACTCCCAAAGCAATTTCATAAAGAATGCGGAATCTTAGGCACCAGGGTATTTCAGGATATACATCTTTCTGCCAAGATAAAACCACAAAACCAGAATGTAATCCTCTGTTCTGATCTAAGAGCACAACACAAAGGCTTTTTATAGGAAGAAGAAAGTGACCTGGACAAGCAGTAATATTTAAAAGCATTCATTACATGAGCTCCTTGAAAAATTGTAGCTAAGCATTAAGACTGGTTAGCTGTAAAAACAAATACATAAGCGTTAATCATGCAGTATTATATTTCCATTCCCTAGCATTCATGTAATAGTTAATGACTGCTATACATGATGTAGGACAGTTAGTACATTACTCATTCATATGGAAAAACTATTTACAGATGAACTTCTATAAGAAAATAGCAACAGATGATTACTACACAAAGGAAGGCAAGAATCGTATCTTTAACTGACATTGGGGTAAAAAAAAAAAAAAGAAAAAGATGTGGTGAAACCAAGCACAAGATAGTAGCCTTATAAATATTAACACACCAAGAAAAGGGCACTAACACTCAACTGTAATCTTGAAAGTTACATTGACACAAATGCCTTTATGGCATACCTTAGCTGAGGTCTCTAAGGCATGAGATATGTATTGATTGAGGATCAATTGATTGCGTATTGAACTGTGGTGCTGTGTAGCTTTACAGTAGCAATACTGGATGCTCAAGCTAATGGGAGCAGCTGAGAGTTCAGCACTGAACTTACTCCAGAGAGGTACATCTGGCAAAAATAACCATATCTGTCTAGATTAGCAACACTTGACTTCTAGATGCTAAAGTAAAAATCTTTAATTTTTAAAATAAAGACCTAGATTGACAAAAAAAAAGCTGATTTTTGTGTGATATTTACATTGGAAATAATTCTGAAACCCAGGCTGAAGTAGGTATTTCAGCTCCTAATTAGAGAAAAACAGATCTTAAAAGTAACTGTATCAATTATTCAACATGAAGCCAGTCATATGTCAGAACACTAAAGGAAAAAATGTAATAGGACTACAGCCTGCTGAGTTTGGTTGTCTTTTTAGGATTCAGAAAATCTGTATGAACACCAAAAACTACTAGAGATATTGACTGTCCTTTAATTTGAAATATTCTAATTAATATATTTTACTACTTTCCTTAAATATGTAAATCACAATCTATTTGAAACAATCAGGGATTGTATTTCAAGACTGTAAATATACTTACCCCATGTAAAAGCTGGTTTAATGACCCATTTGTCATGTATTCTGTTACTATCCCCAGAAATTCAGGCTCGTTGCAAATTCCCAAAATCGGCAGAATGTAACTAAACCTGGCTTTGTGTAATATCTCTGCTTCTTTTAAAAGGTGATTTCTGTCGCTTAAAGAAAAGAAACCAAAAAAATGTTACTGTATCTCTGCTAGGAAACACAAAGCAAATGTTTGTTCATTATGATCTCTTAAAAAAATTATGTACCTATACATGGTACTACCACCTCTCTCCAGTTGTTTCCTACTATGCTGTTTTGATAACAAGACACTGTAAGACAAATGAGAATCTGCAGATGCAAATACAAGACAGCTTTCCCAGTTTTGTTGTACCACACAAATCTATTTCCGTCACACACTTCATCTGTGTTTCCAGTAAATAAGGATACAGTCAGAACTCCAAATTTTTACCATCCTGTGTGTAACCATAATGGTAATAACCAGCTAAATTCATCCTACTTTACTGCCCATCTTCAAACCCTGAGCTTTTACTGAGGCTTATTATTAATCTTCTATAGAGTGGTGAATTGAATACTGGCAGTTCTACAATCATTTAAATTTAGTGGATACTCATATGGACTAAAATCATATGGGTTAAAGAAATGCATCTTCTGTTTCTGAAGGAAAAGGAACACCATACCATGTCTTGTTTTCACATAAATAGTTCTTTCAAATTGGGCCCCTACTTTCACTCACCCTCTGGAAAAAAAAAACAAACAAACTACAAACATGCCCTGGTTGCACAGGAAGAAGGAAGGGACCAGCCTCATTAAGTCTGACCTCCATAAAAATGTGAATTTGATGCATCTCTAAAAATTCAGACCATGCAGCATATGGATTTGAGAAGCTCAAGGTTTATTTAAGAATGCATATGCTACCATCCCTAAAAGTAATATTTTGTTTGTATAGCTTGTATCTCAAATGTAGATAAAAATGGGTTTGTTTACAGTGAGGATACTTGGGCCATGAAGGATAATCCTATGAAAAACAAAAAGATTTGGATTTTATAGTAATGACTGGTATGGGTACAGGCATTTGAGTAGGATATCCAAATACAGAACTTTCACAGCTGTGGAAAACTGTTCTTTTCTTCCCCACATAAGTCTAAAACTGATCTTCTGGATGCAAATCAGTCTGATTCAGAAGCGTAGAGCTGTGCTGAGCCATGGCTGTGCAAAAGCCAGGGCTGTGCCCATGACAATTGCTCAGCACAGTGTCATGTCACTGTCACTGTCCAGGTCCCAGGTGAGAGCTGGTACACACCAAAGAGTCTGGACTCATTGATGCATATCTACCCCTCACTAAGAAAAACCCATCAGAATATACAGGGAAAAGAGGAAGCCTGATGAACTAAAGCAAGATGCTTTTACGACAGGAAAAGTTTGAATTTCGCTGGATGTGAAACTAAGAGCAGCGGCTGATCCTTATCCATGTGATGGTAAAAGGATTCTATTATAGGAAACTCTAGGAAATGATTCAAGGAAAGCATGGGACAAAAGACACAACTCACTCCCTTCCTCCTCTCCAGAAAAGACTAGATTTGAGAAAGCTAGCGGTTTTCCCAGACCGTGAGGTACATCTGCATGGGATTCAGCTGTAGCTGGGAAACAAATTGCAACAGATCAAGGTCTATTCTCTGTGTGTCTGTAAGTCATCTCACCTTTGTTTGCTCCCTACCAGAAGGGCACTGAGTAATGCCTAACTTTAGTACCAGCCCACAATAGCTTCCCTACCAGCTTTGTTCTGTGGCTGGTCACACACACACCATCCCAAGTTTCGGGACACATAGTGCAGGCTCCCTGGTTGGGGAATTTACTGCACCATGAACTCTTCCCTTTTCTTGACAGCATTTACAGCATTGCATTTTATGTTGCCTACTATACAACTGGCAAATCACTTGCTGCAGAAAATTTTGTGTGACAGATTTCTTACAGCTTTTGTCGTCTGATAACATTTCCAAGCTCTGCGTGATCTATGGCAGGTGGCTGATTTATTCTGATTACCTCAGCCTTCCTCTCCACCATAATTTCACAGGTTAGGTGTCACACTAATATAAATTCTTGCAAGGCTAAATGAATATTTATCGGTTTCTCCCAACTGAGCTGAGAGGATAAACACTGTATTTCTAACTAGCAGAGATTTAAGCAGACATCTGAATTAAAGAAAAAAACAAACCAACAGAGAACACAATAATTCCTGCTTAAAAACATAACTGAAACTCCCTTTCATTCTGGCAAGCTTTCACAGATAAGGCCTATGTATACACACTTGAGAATAACAGGTGAGGTAGCTTAAACCAATTTACTTATATGCTAGCATATTGGATCACATAAGCCTTGTTATTTTAAGTGAAACTGTTCTGTCTAAATGCATAATAGTAGATCAAAGAAACCTAAGACAGTAAATATTAAAGACACCTAGATAAGACAAAAAAGGCAGGTTTACAGTCAAGCAGGCTTCAGACAGCCTAAGAAGAGGCAAATGTGCACTGATACAATGAAAAACAGGCACTGTAGGAAGTGAATGAGGAAGAGATGGAGGCAAAATTATTACCTGGTGTCCACTTACATGGAGTGACAGCTCCCGCAATAAACACGCTGTCACTTGAGGCACCCAGGAAAATGGGGAACACACCTGCTGCAAGTTGAAGAGCTAGTGGAAAATACCAGTTGCAGGAGGGAGTCTACAACCCTATTATTCTGAATTACCTTCTCTCAGTACCGTGAGACATCAGGAAAAAAAATAATCTAATAAATCCATTATGCATTGTCCCATACAAGTTTCTTCTAGGACAGTCACATGTTCCTTATATTTTGTCTCGGTAAGCAAAACACCTATAGCAATCACTGCATTTCACTGTCCCACTGATATTTAAGCAAAACGATGGAAAATCAACAGGTCCAGGAAGAAGCTGAACCGTGCAAATCCCATCTTGAGGAAGAACCAAAGTGCAGACAGCAGAAGAAAAAACCCTTCAAAAGAGGCACCCTGCTTCCTATCTCATCCACTGAGACCGAAACCACCCATTTTCAATATCGAAACAGAGGAAGCCTCGGGGCTGCTACGTGCTTTCTCGTGGATCAAGCTGAAACAGTCTTCGCGGGATCTCCTTCGCCCTTGCATTTAAACCAGCCCTGCCCAACAAGACACCCAGTCTCCGCTCCAGCAGCCGAGGCAGCCCAGGCAGAGCCTGGGACGCACCCACCGGGCGCCCCTATAAAAAGAGGGAGCGTGACCCCCCGCTTCCTGGTTTAGGGAAAGGCAGGTTCAGTTCAGTCCTTCACCACGGGGGGGCAGGTGGGGCGATGGGGGCACCCTCACCCGATAGCCACGCCGCCCCCATCACCTCCCCTCCCCCGGGCCGCTCCCCCCGCGTTACCTGTCAAGCAGCGGGCCCTGCAGGCATTTGAGGGCCACCGGGACTCTCCAGTCAGCGTGGCGGGGGGGGGGGATCCGGCGCGCCAG